ATGCCTTATACGGCTAAAGGCGTGGAAGAGGGTCCTTTACATACGATGTAGAGCGGTAGTTCTCACAGTAACATCAGTGGCCGCACAGACAGAAGCAATAGCGTGTTTCAAGCAGTCCTTATCGGCAAGCATTACAACAAGATGGGACTTGCCGGCTAGACGCCGGCCTGCGGATCGGAAGGTCGTGGGTTCGCATCCTGATGGAGCCAGACTTTTTTTCAAAAATGACCTTGACTCCCAGGTCGACCCAGCCTTGAGTGGGTACCAGGTGTAGTCCTAGGAAGTAAAGGCGACCGGCTTGATGCTGACCACATCACCCACCAAGTGCCGATTGGTCTATAAAAATATAGGTCTAGCCCTATATTCCCAAACGCCTAAAGGCGCGGAAAAGGGACCTTTACTTGACTATTACAACAAGATGAATAATCCTAGACAACAGCTTTCACATAGTGAAGCCACGCGAATGGTAGGTATGTTGATAGGTAGATGTACCCCACCAGGACATCACACAAGCGATAAACACCCGGTGACACAAAGTGCCACCATGCGGATGAGGATCACCCGTGGAGAGGTCACAGAAACCCTTTTCAGCCGTTAGGCCATATCCATGGATAGGCCACATCTATGCCCCGGCTATATTCAGGGCCCACGGCAGAAGCCAGGGTGGGGCAATTAACAAAAACTGGTATCCAACATGGGGACGACTTTAGAATTATGATAACTGATGAGATTATGTTAACCAGGTAAGTATAACCACGCTAATAACCTATTCCAGAATTCAACAAATAAAAATAAATAAGATATGCAAAACGAAGCATAAATAAGGAAACGAAAATAATAATAATAATAATAATAATAATAATAATAATAATAATAATAATAATAATAATAATAATAATAATAATAATAATAATAACTGTCCTTGTCATAGCTCAGTGAATGCAGTTGTTTGATGTTAGCTCGACTGAAGCCACGTCTACTTGTCATCATCTACAGCACCATGTG